CCGCTCTAATCTCCTCCTTTCCCTTCCACGTACTACGGGTGCACGGATGCGCTATGAATGGCTGGAGCTCATGCTAGGCGTAGGAAGGCATCTTCCCCTCCATCCTCCTCCATCTGTTTTCCTTGTAGAGAACTCCTCCCCGTCTGACCGCCAGATGTGCTGATAGGCCAGGCCGAGCGTTTCGCCTGATACTTCCCCCCCGCTCATGACCCAGAAAGTCGAAAACAACTGTGGCACGAATGGACGGGGCTCGTTTCACAATGTGGCTCTCGTCTCCGTGCTGCGCATATCTTCCGTAAAAGTTTACACAAGTTACACGGACGGAGGGGGCGGCTTCCATTCATACTGTGGCTCTTGCCCTCGTCCAACAGCTACATGAACGGATAGGCGTTTTAAACATGCGGGCTGTGAACGTTTTCTGATTCGGCGTTTCCACATTGAGCGAGAGGGGGGGAGGGGGGGGTCTGGCTCCGGACCTCTGCTTAGTGCGACTGTTTGGACCAGTGCTCCCATGGAGAATTCTATGGGAAGACGGGGCCCCCGTGCTTACTCCACCAGCTTGAAACCAGGCGACAAAAACAACCAAGATCTACTCCATGTGGATGGGGGGTGCGAGGGCCTGCGCCTATCGGCAAAACAATGGATAAGATCACAATGCGCACATTCAGCCTAAGCGTGTTCAAAAGCTATCACCTGAGCGTCGCGCACAGTCGCCTTAAACGTTCCCTATACTTACACGGATGGGTTTGGGGACGTTTTAGACATGTGGCTCACGCGACGCATTCAAGGCCACACGCACGTTCGCCTTCAACGGTACCAACAGTTGCGTGAATGAACGGTGGTTCGTTTTGACATCTGGCTCTCGCCAGAGCACCGCACACAATCGTCGTAGAAGCTGCTGCAGCTTACTCGGATGGTTGGTGGGGCGCTTTTACAATGTTGTTATCCCCCAGGCGCCGCGCACATGCGCCTTGAACGCGTCAGCAAACTTCACGGATGGACGGCGGGGCGCTTGAAAATGTGGATCTTGCCCTGGCGCCGCACACATTCGCCTCAGATGCTTTCAGCAGTTGCACGGAACTGTGGGAACGGGGTCGTTTTCAAACTGGGGCTATCGCCTTAACGCCGCGACAGTTCGCCTTGACCGGACCCAACACACACAATGATACAGGACTACTCGATGTTCAAAGTATGACTCTTGTCTCAACGACACGCACATTCGACTTCAAAACTTACAACAGCTATACACACGGAGGGCGATTCCTTTTCAACATGTGGCTATCACCTGAGCGCCGCAAACGGTTCCTATATCTACACGTATGTGTGGGAGGGCGTTTTGAACATGTGGCTCACGCCACGCGCGTACGACCACACGCACGCCTTGAACGTTACAATCAGTAGCATTAATGGAGGGTGGTTCGTTTTGAACATCTGGCTCTCGCCAAAGCACCTCACACAATCGTCATAGAAGCTGCTGCAGTTTAGACGGATGGTTGGAGAGGCGCTTTTGCAATGTTGTTACTCCCCAGGCGCCGCGCACATGCGCCTTGAACGCTTCAGCAAACTTCACGGATGGATTGGGGGCGCTTCCAGATGTGACTCTCGCCCTAGCGCCGCGCACATTCGCCTCATATACTTTCAACAACTGCACGGGAAGGTGGGAACGGGGTCGTCTTCAAACTGGGGTTATCGCCTTAACGCCGCGACCGTTCGTCTTGACCGGACCCAACACACACAATGATACAGGACTGCTCGATGTTCAAAGTATGACTCTTGTCTCAGCGACGCACACAATGAAATTCAAAGCTTCCAAAAGCTATACACACGGAGGGCGGTTCCTTTTTTCAACATGCGGCTATCACCAGAACGTCTCGTACAGTCGTCTTCTCCGGTTCCTATATCTACACGAATGGGTGGGGGGGAGCGTTTTGGGCATATGGATCACGCCACGCGTTCACGGCCACACGCACGCTTTGAACCTTACCATCAATTGCATTAGTGGAGGGTGCTTCGTTTTGAACAGGTGGCTCTCGCCGAAGCGTCACGCACAGTCGTCCGGGAAGCTGTTACAACGCACACGGATGGTTGGTGGAGCGCTTTCAACATGTTGTTATCCCCCAGGCGCCGCACACATACGCTTTAAACGCCTCCACATACCTCACGGATGGACGGCGGGGCGCTTGATAAAGTGGATCTTACCCTAGCGCCGCGCACCGTCGCCTCAGAAGCTCCCAACACTTATGCTGACGGGTTGGAAGAGGGTGTTGTTCAAACTGGGGTTATCGTTTTCCGCGATCGTTCGTCTTCATCAGTTCCAGCACTTACACTGATACAAAACTTTTCGTGTTTGAAGGTGCGGCTCTCATCTTAGCGACGCGCACAATCAACTAAACAGTTTCCAGTCGCTGCGCGGGTGGAGGGCAATCTCTTTTCAAGATTCGCCTGGTGAAGGACCCAACCATTTTCAGCTGCGAGTGCCGCAAGGCAGGTGATACGAAAGAGAATGCATCAGGACGGTACGAAACGTGCGGAAGGGGGTGCCGACATGGGCGCGGTCACAGATCCGGGCGTTGCCACTGGGGCATTCGGTGGTGCTCCCTGTGGGGCCACGAACCGTGCGAGGGGAGTGCCAACATGGGGTGCACTCGCGCACGCGGGCGCTGCCATTGGGGCTGTCGGTGGTGTTCCCTGTGGGGCCACGAAACGTGTGGTGGGGAGTGCCAACATGGGGCGCGGTCGCGCATGCGGATGCTGCCTTGGGGCCGTCGGTGGTGCTCCCTGTGGGGCTACGAAACGTGTGGTGTGTGTGCCGAAATCGGCGCAGTCGCGCATGCGGTCGCTGCCTTTCGGGCCGTCGGTGGTGTTCCCTGTGGGCCAGCAAACGTGCGAGGGGTGTGCCGAAGCGGGCGCGGTCGCGCCTGCGGGCGCTGCCACTGGGGCCTTCGGTGGTGCCTCTGCGGGGCAACGAGAAGTGCGAAAGGTGTGCCGAAATGGGCGCGGTCACGCACGTAGGCGCTGCCACGATAAGTCTGAGGGTGCGCCGACATGGGCGCGGTCACGCATGCGGGCGCTGCCACTGGGGCCTTCGGTGGGACTCCCCGTGGGGCCACGAAACGCGAGAGGGGGGTACCGACAACGTCTGGTTCGCGCACGCGGATGCTGCCAGTGGGGCCTTCGGTGGTGCTCCATGTGAGGCCACGCGACGCGTGATGGGGGGGGGGGGGGCGAAATGGGCGCGGTCGCGCAGGCGGGCGCTGCCACGGGGTCTTCGATGGAGCGTCCAATGGGGCCACGAAGCGCGGGAGGGGTGCTCCGAAATGGACGCGGCGCTGCTGCTATCAGGTGGTGATGGCGTGATGATGGCGCTGCTGATGTTGGTGGTGATGATGATGATGACGCTAATGTTGTTGATGATGATGATGATCATGGTGAACGATGGTGGTGATGGTGATGCTGATGGCGATGGTGCTGATGGTGATGGTGGTGATGACGATGACGATGACGACGACGATGATGAGGAGGAGGATACATATGCCGATGCAGATCGTGATGATGACGATGATGGTGATGATTGTTTCTCGGCACGTTCAAGAAAAATGATGGTCCGCCGCAGAAAGCCGAACCTCTCGTTGATCCCCGCTCTTAGGGCCACGCCTCGCGGGTGCTGACACAGGTGGGCTGCGTCGCGCTGCCACGAGACGCTTCGAGGAGACATTTATTCGTCAAACAAAAAAGATGCGGCCTCGTCTTCTGCTGCTGCATCGAGCTGATCGTGTCGGCCTTCAGGCCGTTCGAGATGGGGCGACCCCGAGTCGGCAGAGTCTGGCTGTGCCAGCCCTGCCCACCCCGAGTTTGCTGGCCCCGACAAGGATACATAACAAACTGGGACTGGCGGCGCACGCCCTGCGGCATGCTCCAGCTCTGAGTCTTCCAGGACTGGCGGCGCACGCCCTGCGGCATGCTCCAGCTCTGAGTCTTCTGAGACTGGCCGCGAACGTCCTGCCGACCCCGAGTCGGCAGCTGCTGGGGGGTCTGGCCTGGAAGCGACGACAGAAGCTGTCGAGGCTGGCGGCGCGCGCCCGTCGGCACGCTCCTGCTCTGAGTCATATGAAACTGGCGGCGCGCGCCCTGTTGCAGACTCCTGCTCTGAATCTTCTGAGGGCGGGCGCTGGTGTTGTGCCTGTACACCGTGGCGGCTGGGAGGGAGCGGGGGTCCCCTAACAAAAACTAGCGTTCGAGTCTCCACCCAGTGCGCCACCTCTTCCTCGAGCCATCCCGCTGGCGCCACCCCACGGTCGTGCTGCGCCGCGCCCTCGGCGGCCAGCGCCTTCATGATTAGCTTGCGGCCTGGTGATGATGGTGATGATGATGCTGATGTTGATGCTGATGCTGATGATAGTATTGCGAATGAGTAGAATGATGACGATGACGATGAGAAGGTTCGGGGGGGAGGTGAGGAACGCGGAGCGCTGCTGATTCACAAAAATGGCCGAACATCACAGGATAGTCGGGAACATCCTTCACTTAACCCTTATGATAAAGAGCTACCAGGATGCAGGGCATCTCCTTTTCGAGTCGGAGCCCTCACCTGAACGGACGCTTACACTGCCAAAGTTTGCACGGATTGGAAGTGTTGCTTTTCAAAACGGGGCTGTCTCCAGACAGTTCATTGAACTCATGACCCTACCGCGTCGCCGTCCCTATAGCTAGAAACATATGTGGCAGCGCCTCTTCAAAGCAAGGCCTTCGCCTGAATTGCAAGACCACGAGGCGCTCGTCTATCTAGGGGGCACTTCCAGCAGAGGAAAAAGGTTCTGATAGACGCTCATGAGCAGAGGACTTGGGACGACGGGTGCGCGCATTTTGGCATTACTGAATCACCCTGGGTATACTCAGGTCTTCCCCCTCCCCCCCCACACTCTCCTCCTCTTCCCTCCCGTCCCCCCTCCGTCCCCCGCCGAAGACAGCCGGCCAGAGGGCGCGCAGGCGCGCGCAACCCCTTTCCTCGGCACCGCACCTGCCCACCGCGGTCGCCCCGTCGCGCCCGCCCCATCGCGGCCAGGCCGCCCGGCTTCGCCGGCGGGGGTGCGCTTCAAGCGTTAGATGCTCGTTCTGGGGACCTTCCTGGAGCCACTCGCTCCACTCGTGCGTCGAAGCTGCGTTGAACCTGAGTCGAACCTGAGTCGAACATGAGTCGAACCTGAGTCGAATCTGAGTCGAACCTGAGTCGAACCTGAGTCGAACTTGAGTCGAACCTGAGTCGAACAGATCCATTAGATGGCCCCCAGGAAGGTCCCCAAAACGAGCATCGAACAAGCGGGGTCGGTGCTCCTCGCCCGTCCTCTTGGAGGAGGGCCTGCCGCCGATGCCGGCGGCGCACGGAGAGGCGTGGGGCGCGCGGGAGGCTCGAGCCCCCCGAGATCTTCACACGCGTCGTTGTTTGGGGGTCCTGCCGTGGGGTCCTCGCGGCCACGGCTAGACGCAGCTCGACAAACTCGCCATTCTGGTCGCGGTCGCACGAGAAGGCCAGCCTTCCAAGAAAGCAGGGTGCATATTCGAAGAGGTGGGCCCCTGCTCAGACGCTGCTCCGAGGGGCCTCTCGGAAGACAGGAGGGCGTCAGACACGAGGGGGGCCTTTTTAGAGCACGAACTCCCCCTTGCCCTGCCCCTTCTGCACGCCGCCAAGTATTGAAATTGCTATGGTAGGAAGGCACCAACTATACACCAACACCGATCCTGGCCAGGATCACCCTCGGCTCAGGATCGGTATATACGCCCTCCTGCCTTGCGCAAGAAGGCATATACACCGATCCTGGGCCCAGGGTGATCCTGGGCCAGGATCGGTGTTGGTGTATAGTTGGTGCCCTCCGATATGGGTGCTGCCCCACCTGTCCAATGCACAGAGACACACGCGCGCACACACTGACACACTTCTGGGCGCTGCGGCCCGAGCACAGCAGGCAGCGCGGGGGGGAAGCTGCGCGGGCGCGCGCGCCCCGCCTGCGCAGGTAAGAAAGGAGGGTGACCGGGCACGCACGGGGCAGTGGCGATGCCAAGGGAGCAGCGGCCGCGGCGGGGCGCCGGCGGCGGGGGCGGGACACACGAACACACATACACAACACGCACACACACACACACACACAACACACACACACACACCACTAGATCCTGGTGGATCCTCCAGCCCTTTCCCTTATGAATAACTTCTCCCTGTCGAAACCCAGAGGATGGTCGGAAAGGGCGGGCTGGGCGTTTCGACTGAGACATCCTACTGAATGAACCTGAAGCTTAGAAACTGGAAGCTGTTTCACAAATGGAGGGCGGGTGGTTTCCAACATGTAACTCTCGCCCTAGCGCCGCGCGGATTCGTTAAAACATGCAAGAGCTTCACGGATTGAGGGCGGATCGTTTTCTAAATGCGGTTCTCGCCTCAGCGCCTCGCACATACGTTTAAACATTGAAAAAAATCACTGATTGAGGGCGGGTGGGTTACTAAATGTGGTTATCACCTGCGCGCCGCGCGCATTCTTTTTTAAACATGTGCAGTAAGTTTCAAGGATTGAGGGCGGGTCGTTTTCAAAATTTGGTTTTCGCCTTTGAACCGCGCGCGCTCCTCTTATTTGCAAGAGTTTCACGGATTGAAAGCGGTTCCTTTTCAAAATGTGGCTCTCGCCTGTCTTGAAAAACTGCAAGCGTTTCGCAGATTCTCATGGTTACCCTTCAAGAAGCGGTGCTTTCAAATGATTCAGGATTGTACGTTGATTCGCGGGGTTGAAGGCCCAGGAATACTGCTCTGGCGCGAGTCAGGATCGCCAAGACGCGACAGTCTGGTTGACTCGTGGCGTTGTAGCCCTAAGAACGATGTTTTGGCACGCTCCAAGATTTTCACACGGTTGTGTCTCAACGGGACGCGTCCCTCAGTGGACGTAAATCCTTGTATGGGGCCTATGAAGAAGGAGCTTGGAGGGAGGGTGTATCCCAGCATCGTTGATGGGTCATGGATTTACACTGGTCATCCTGCTCTTCCTCCTCCTCATAATAATCGTACGCATACTGGAATCACCATCGCCACCCTCATCATCAAGACAACCCTCATCATCACCGTCATATCATCATCATCATCACCGCTGCCATTCTGACGGATCCGCTGGTCCCCGTTAACTCGGGGCCAATCCGCACGCACGCGATATGACTGTGCGCCCCCCCCCGCTCCACTTCGCCAAGTTCCCTACGAACCACCCTGGAAACAAGCGGTGACTTTCAAATCCTCGGCCCACGGGACCTGGCCAAGCATGCAGAACAGTGGGCAGTGCAACTATAACTGCTACCCGAAACTGGCGAATCACACTAACTGTTCCCATCTTCACATGGTCGGCGGGATGGCGTAAGCCTTTCGATCGAAAATCGACACCGTCCCGCCATCAACTGCCCCCTCCCCCGTCCCCCGCCGCTCTCCATCAGCCGAGTATGGGAGAGGGGGGGTGGGGCGGCAGGCAGAGAGAGTGGAAGAAAAGGAGGGAGCAGGGAGTAGGCATGAGGGACGAGAGGGGAGCAGGGAATTAGAGAAAAAAAGGGGATACGAGTTGAAGAAGGAGGAGGAGGAGGAAGAAAATAGGGTAAGGACGAAGGACTATGAAAGAAAGAAGGAGGAGGAAGAGGAGGGAGAGTAAAAAAGAGCATGGCAGAAGCAACAAGGAAGAGGAGGAAGAGGACGAGGCCGAGGAAAATGAGAAGAAACAAGATAACCAGGAATAGAAGGACGGGAGCAAGGATACGGAGCAGACGAAAGGGAACGAGGAGGATGAGAGGACGGATGGTGCACTGTGGGGTCATATTGTAGACGCTGTGGGGCCATCTACGCCAATATTGGGTTCCTCTGGAACTCATGTCGGGCTGTAGGCTCGCAGCATTGGGGCAGCCACGGGCAATGATGGGGTATATGTTTGCGCGCTGTGTGGCTAAGACAAGGACCCCGCGGAACAATCAGGAACAGAACATGGCACCAATCATACACATGTATGCCAACGCGGACCCCAAACAATGAGATGTTGCAATGTGGGTGTGTAACTTACGTAGTGTGATGCATGAGGTGCGAGCTATGTGGTGAGACATGTTTGGTGCAATCGATGTAGTGCAACCCATGTGGTGCAATCGACGTGGTGCGAGCTACGTGGTGCAAGCTAAATGGTGCTATCGATGCGGCGAGATCTATGCGGTGCGAGCTACGAAGCGCAACATGTGGCGCAACCCACGTGGTGCGGTGTATGTGGTGCGAACTACAGAATGCAATATGAGCGGTGGAATGTACGCAATGCAACTAACGAGCGCCACGGTCGGATTGTCAATTCCACTGCCCGCGCAAGCATCCCACCCTCCCGCCCGCAACTTGGTTTGCAAAACTCATGCGGCGGCTATGGCGGTCACTCCTTGGCACCGGCTGGCGCATCTCTGCGGCCGCGCTGGCGCGCGCAAACTCTGGCGCAGCGCAGCCACCTGGTCTGGCACAACCGATGCAGCCACGATGGCGCTTGCCGATGGGAGCAACCCAGCTTGTCTCAAAGGCATCGCTGGCGCGCGGACACTTCAGCGCGGGTCGGTGGCTCAGGCGAGCGCGATATCATCACGACGTCGGCAACGGCGGCGGATATGATAATAGTAAAGATGGTGGCGGCGATGAAGACGATAACAACGGCAAGGCCAACGACGGCGTCGATGCTAGTATCGCCGATGACGACGACGATGATGTTGTCCATGTGACGATGATGAAGGTGCTTGAGTGGTGACGGCGGCAACTGCGGCGACTAGCGAAGACGATGACGTGATGCGGCGGCGCTGCCAACAGAAATCTGGAAGGACATCGACACGTTCGCGTGGCGGCGCGCGCGTGGCCCGAATTGAATTCTGAGATACGGATTCGTGCACTGGGCGCACATTCTCGGTAAATGCTGATGCACCGCGCGGTGAGATGAGAATGCAGGTTCTGGGCGAGACTGCTAACATCGCATGTTCGTACAATTTCAGCAAGTGCACGCGGGAAGACACGCTGTGCAAGATCTACGGTGAAAAACCGAGGTGCTTTGAAACATTCGTATCTTGAACTCCGTTCAGAGATGATGTGGTTGGTGAGGTTTCGGCATCTGCGCGCACGAGTCGACCCTGCGCGACTTGTTTTTTATGATAACCGGGCGCACGCGCATAGCATGATTTGACATGGATGAGGGGGGCGATGCCCAGCCTGCCTGGGATGGTACGAATTCAGATGGACAGCGAACGGTGAGGCACAGAGGTAAGCATTCGTAAATTGCAGCGCCCCGAGGGCAAGACGAGAACTCCGGGTAGGAGAGGGTGTGGGGTGGCAGAGACTGTTCTTCTTAATCTGCGTGGTGCAGGCTATGCAGTGGGCGCCCACGAGGCGCACACGGGCGGCAGCGTGCCGAAACCTCGGCGGGCCCACCCAGCGCACTCTGCGCCCACGAGGCGCCCACGAGGCGCACACGCGCGGCAGCGTAACGGAACCTCGGCGGGCCCACCCAGCGCACTCTGCGCCCACGAGGCGCCCGCGGGCGGCAGCGTGCCGGAACCTCGGCGGGCCCACCCAGCGCACGGGGCGCCCACGAGGCGCCCACGAGGCGCCCACGAGGCGGCAGCGTGCCGAAACCTCGGCGGGCCCGCCCGGCGCACGCTTCGCCGACGAGGCGCCCAGGGGGCGGCAGCGTGGCGAAACCTCGACGGACCCCATCCAACTCCTTAGCGGTAGAAGCAGAAACCCCTGAGTGCCTTCACTGCTGGGGAACGCACGTTGCTGAACGAGTTGGCGGCGGGGTGGGGTCCCCTTGGAGCGCGCTTGTGACCGAATGGGGCTGCACTGGACTCTTAGAGCCTCCTGAGCCCTCCTGGGCTCCCTTGGTATCTCCTGGGGGTGCATCTTGGCACGTCTTCGGATGCCTCCCTCCGTAGGGCGTCGGACTGGTAGTGGCGTTGATGCCACTAGCCCTTTAGA